CCTCCAGCCCACCATCCGCCTGGTTTGGTCGTGTTGTCCCGCCACTGTGCTGCATCCTCTCCAAGCCCCGCCAATTAGCGCCCCTGCGTCCGGCCGAAGCCCTCATGCAATCGCGTACTTCTCTCCTCCCCACCCACCCCCAAACCACGACCTCACACCCTGATCGACCTGCCCCACGGTCCCGCCCCTGGGGACCGCTCTGCCTGCCAACCTCCAGATCCAATTGGAGTTCTCCATGCAGAGAGACCTGCACGTGGCTGAGGACGACGAGTACGGGTGGGACTGGACGCGCGCGGAAGTCGCCACGGCTGCAGCGGCGAGGCAGGCGGCGGCCACGGCGGCGGCGGCGGCGCGAGAGGCAGCGGCGGCCGCGGAAGTCGCCGCGGCGGCGGCGGCGGCGGGGGGCGCAGTTGCGGCAGCTGCGGCGCGGGAGGCGGCAGCGGCAGGCTCAGAAGAGGCGGTGGTGGCTGCGGTGCTGGGGCAGCAGACGCCTCGCGGCAGCAGCGAGCAGGGGCATGTAGAGCCTATCACAGGTGGGTGGACGCTGCTTTTGCACGTTTGTCAAGTCTGAGGGCGCGCACCTGCCGAGCCTGCCATGACCCCACTTCAGGGATGACGATGTACTCAGCTTGCCACGCCTCCTCTGTGCTATGCCTGTGTTTTTGCAGGAGCGGACTACGTACGCGCTCACGAGGAGGTGGTCCGGATTGCAGTTGAAGCAGCGGGGAGCGACGCTGGCGGCATTGGCGCTGGCACGGCCAGCACAGCGGCGGCGATCTGTGGCAGCAGATCGCCATCATAATCAAACTCTTGTCTGGAATCATGCACGCATTCTTCAGCACATATGCAACAATACCAACGATATTTTTCGGAACTCGTTTTATTTCCTTTCAAAGCAGCGTGTTGCAAACGCGATGTCATCCACAGTGAGCGACGAGCAACAGGGTCTCCTCGCGGTCCTGGTGAGATAAAATCTATCCTTGGACGCGGATTGCATGCAGCACGCCAGGAGCCAGGAGCTGACTGTGGTTGACCGCTGCTGCTGTGGCGCGCGACCCATGCTCGGCAGGTCAAGGAGAACGAGCATATCCAGCGGGAGAACCAGCTGCTAGCGGCCTTCACCGAAAAGGTTGGTTCTGATGGCAGCAGTGCTGCAGGCAGGGACGGCCGCGTCAGCAAAGCAGTCTGCGCTAAAGCAAGGGGCCGGGCTGCATTAGCAGCGCGGCATTCGCTCGACTGCATGCAGGCACTGACAGGATACATGCCAACTTGTAAGCTCGACAGCGTGCATGGTTTGCATCTAGAAGGTTGCGGTTCCCCTTTCTGGCAATCAGATGCTGGAAAGCCTCTCTCCACCCGCCCCCCCCCCCCCCACGTTGCGCACATCTCAGGCGGTTGCTCAGCAGCAGCTTGGCGCAGCGGGTGTTGAGGAGCAGCACAAGGTTTGCATTATGATGCCTGTGAGGGCCGTGTTGTCTTGGCCTGTGATGGCTCTGTGAGCGTGCAGGCCTTGCGACTCGGGGCCGCACTGGTGCGACGCTCCGCTGTGCGTGCAATCGCTCGCTGCGTAGTTCTGGTCCTCAGTGCGCCCCTGTGATGTGGTGATGGGTCATTACTGCATACAGCGTTGGATACGAGACCCGTTTACGCTGCCACATATATCAATAAACGTGTTGTTCGCAGAAGCGCAAGGCATCATCGCGCCGCAAGGCCGAGGACGAGGGGTTTCAACCCCTGACAGAAGACGAGAAGGGTGACTTGGTCAGCCAGGCGGTGGAGGCGCTTGAGGCGGAGATTGATGGCGTGAGCAAAGGGCATGTGAAAAACAAGAAAGGATGGTGTTCTGCCGCTGGGGCGTGCTGCCATCCACATGCATTCCAGCATTTGGCTTGTTGAGTCCCGGTTGTGTGTGGGCACCCTGTTTCTCAAACGCACGCTTGCCCCGCCGCCCGCCTCACTCCCTTGACACAGGTCCGTTCCGCGGGCGACAAGGATGTGGACGACATCCGGACTTTGATGGAGGAGGTGGACATGCGTATTAACGAGACCAAGAATGCGACCTATGAGTTCAAGCGGGACATCATCATGGGCGGGGAAGACGCACACACTGGCGTGACTAGCGCAGACAAGATTGTCAGGTATTGGGATGGGAGCAAGGGAGGAGGGGGGAATCCTCCCTTTGGAGAGAGCCAAGGGAGGCTGGCAGGGACAA